GGGGGGTTGTAACACCCGAGGGTGCGAGCAGCGAGGGCTGCAGAGCTTTCCACGGGGCAAAACGCTCCTTCTCTTGGCTCGAGGAGGGCAGTCAGGGGCTGGTGGGTGAATGATGATCTCCTCTTGTGGTGAGGATATTGCGGAGGATGCTGGCAGGGCATCACCTTGCAGATGTGTGCTCTCGGGTCCCTTAATTGTGGTCTGGTCCTTGGATTAATGCTCTTCGTTCAGGTTTCATGTCTGCTTTTAGTTTTGTGCCCTTTTCTGTCTCCAGTTTCCCCTCCTGCCTGCTGTCAGCAGGGCAGCGGTGCTGCAGCCCCCTTCGCTTGCTGGGAAAGGGGTGTGACCGTGCTGGTATGGGTCTCACCTGTAACTTGGGCTCCCGCAGCCTGGGGTGGGTCGTGAGCCCCAGTCCTGCGAGCACCACGCTTTCCTTTACATTGGCTTTGTGGTTTCCTTACTCTTTGCCCTATGCCATCCCTTTTATCCACCTGTTTTATCAGGTTTTCCTTCTCTCCTTGCCAGGTGGAAGATGACCTCCCTCCGCAGGTGGCACCCGCTCAGCCAGGGCTCTCCTGGGCTGCTGCGTCGATGGCAGGTAAAGAAAATGAAGCAGCAGGTTGCAGTCACCACAGTGGGCTTCCCCGCATGTGGAGTTGTGCTGCCACAGGCTGGGAGGCAGCTCCCTGCTCCCCGGAGAATTTCTCAGCAGCTGCTCCTTGCTCATCACATTCCACCAGAGCTCAAAATTTTGCTCCTGCCTGGATGCATCCCTCCGGCGTGGGGCTGCCGGGGATGGGCTGCAAACAGAGGGGTTGATGCTTGTGCCTTCCATATGATGTCTGTGTAATTGGGCCTAATTACCACTTCAGGAGTCCCTGTGGGTGCTGTGGGAGGAGAAGGGTGACCAGGGGTGGGCAGCTGGATGAAGCATGTGCCTCCCGGCCGAGCCTCGGGGGAGATGGCCCTGTTCCCAGGCGATCCTCCGAGGATGCAAACTGGAGCTGAACTAAGGGGATTTCATACTTGCAGAGTGAAAGATTTGGGAAGGAGCTCATCTCTCTGTGTGCTGGGCTGTTGGTGAAGCCCCAGCATTTCCCCTTCCCTGCTGCCTCTTTCATCCCTTTGCTTTGCCTCTCGGTGACTCCGAGAGTCCCCTCCAGCGACAGTCCTCCCAGAGGGTCAAGAGACATCAAGATGAGGGACATGAACCTCCACTGGGTGGCTGTCACGGGAAGGGCTGGAGAGCTTTCCTTTCCTAGCTGGGCAGCATGTCCATTGAGATGTCCCATCGAGGAGAAGTCAGGGGCTGGTGACCCATCGGCATTGCTTCACGGCCACCTCCATCAGCAGGACGCCCTGGCACAGCCTGCTGCTCCTCGCTGCTGCTCAGATCTAGCTTTCTGCTGGGAACGCCGGCACCAATGCGTGGAGAATAAAGGCTGGTAAACATGACAAATTCCTCCAAGCCATTTCTTCCTATCAGCTTTCCCTGGTGCTGCCAAATTCCTCCTCAAAGAGCTCTCCCAGGCTGTAAAAAGGATCATCAATCCTGATTGCCTTCTGCTGCTATCAGGGCTGAGGCTATGATCATCCTTCCCTGGAAAAAAGTCACAGGTATGATGGGATGGCTTCTCTGAGTGGCCAGGTCTGCTCCATGTGGTCTCCGCAGCTTGCTTTCCCAATGCTTGGCCCTTTTGTTCATTGAGAAGGCCATCCAGAGTCACCATCTGAGGGACCTGCACACAGAGAAAGCTGGCTTGGTGCTGAATTCATCCGTCTTGGACAGACAAAGCCCAAATCAAAGTGCCAAGCTGGGATCCATGTGGTCACAGCAACCTCCTTCTCCATCCTTACAGCCTGGGCTGTCCTCCCTGACTTTTTCTGGCTGGGCAGCGTGGGGTCACGCATCCATCGTCCTCCCTGTAGATCTCAAGCATCTCCAGGCCGTGTGGGTACAAAGCTAACCCGGAGCCAGCTGGAGGTGATGCTTGGCAGGCAAAGCAAAGGGTTTTGTAGCACTGCATCCAAGAGAATGCCATAGTATGTCCCCAGGCTCAGACCCACAGGATCTGGGTCCTGCCTGGCAGTGGGAGAGAAGTTTCCCACTGCCCAGCAAGTTTCTGGCTGGAGGCTGCAGAGCTGGAACAAGCAGGACACACACCTGGGACCAACAGCAGTGTGCTGCCTGCACTGTGTCTAACATCAGACAGAGCAATGTGTATGTTAAATAAAACAAACCCCACTTGCTTAACCTGCCTTTCAAACAACAAAAAAAAACCAACCCTGAATAAATCTGCCTAAAGCAAGAAACTCATCCGTGGGTGCTCCTGTGGAGCAGGAAGGAAGGCTGCGGAGGTGAATTTTCTTTACTGCTTGGGGTGTGCAGCAGGAGTGGAAGAAAAGGCTGGAGGCCCCGGGCTCCTTTCAACTGCTGGGTGTGTGCTGCTCATGCTTGGTCTCTTTGCTTCCATAGCATTCCCCTTCTGAGTTCGTTTGCAACCTCAGGCACGTTCCCGGGAGGTTTTCCCCCTGTCTTTCACAGCCCACCTTCCTTGAAGCCTCTGAAAGGTCCCCGCTGCTGTGCCCTACCTCCTGCCTTGCCCACGCGTGGTCCCCGGGGTCCCTCCGAGCCCCCCTGGCTCCTGCTGATGTATAATGGAAAAGGGCAGAATTCTGTGCAACAGCCTGATGAAATTATAAACACCGGAGTAAACTCCTGAGATCTGTGGTTTTGTGGTGTTTTTTTTTTTTTTGCTTTTGCAGATGGAGAGCTT